GATCACCGGCCAGTGGGGAAGAGGCAGAGCGGTGAGTAAGTGCGCTTGGTACACTATGTGGAAAGATAGGACCCGAACACGGCTGACAGCTGTGTTTTGCAAAGCTAGCTAACCATATGAGGGTAGAGGAGGGGGAGGGGGGATGTGCAAAGGTGAGCTGCAGTCAGGTGTTACAGAGGTAAATTGAGTCAGGTGAGTTGCAGACAGGGTGCATAGGTGAAAGGCTGGGGGGGTGCAGAGGTGAGCTGAGTTGCACCCCTTGGCCACAGCTCAGCTCTGCACCCCCTGGCCACAGCTCAGCTCTGCATCCCACGTCTGCAACTCACCCCTGCACCCTGTCTGTGGCTCATATCTGCACCCTGTCTGAAACTCACCTGTCAAGTCCCTCCTGCAACACCTGACTGCAGCTCACAACTGTCATCAGCCGGCCCTCTCCATAGTAACCCTCATCCACAACTGCCTGCAGCTCACCTCTGCACAACCCTGTCCACACCTGGACATTTAAAAAATAAGACCTACCCTGAAAATAAGTCCTAGTGTGTTTTTTTGAGCCAAAAAAATATAAGACAATGTCTTATTTGCGGGGAAACACGGTAGACTCCAGAGAGAGATATGATTTTACCCCTGTAAAAATCATTAGTAATACCTCATCTGGAATATGCAGTTCAATTTTGGGCACCAATTCACAAAAAGAAAATTTGGGAACTGGAGAAAGTACAGAGAAGGGCAACCAAACTGATAAAAGGCATGGAGGAGCTCAGCTATGAGGAAAGATTAGAGGAACTGAATGTATTCTCTCTTGAGAAGAGGAGATTAAGGGGGATATGATCAACATGTATAAATACTTCAGTGGTTCATATAGTGAACTCGTTGTGTAGTTACTTACCCAGAGGTCATCACAGAGAACAAGGGGGCACTCCTTACGCCTGGAGGAAAATAAATTTAATATCCAAACATGGAAAGGTTTCTTCACAGTAAGAGCTGTGAAAATGTGGAATAGACTCCCTCAAGAGTTGGTTCTGGCCAGCTCAGTGGATTGCTTTAAAAAAGATCTGGATTGTTTCTTGGATACACAGAATATAGTTGGTTACTAACATTTATAGGTAAAGTTGATCCAGGGAATATCCCGATTGCCTCTCGAGGGATCAGGAAGGAATTTTTTCCCCTGCAGGAGCAAATTGCATCATGCTTTGCTGGGTTTTTGCCTTCCTCTGGATCAACAGTGGGTGTAGGATTATAACTTTTTTTTTAATGGTTGAACTGGATGGACTTTTGTCTTTTTTCTGCCAGACTAACTATATAAGTATGTATGTTCATGGGTTCCAGACTTCAGGCAGTCATTGCCAGTAAAGGATTCTCAACAAAATATTAAAAATGAACATTTTTTTTATGTTTATATTCTTTTGTCCAATTACATTTGAGCCCTTGAAAATGGAGAGACTGTGTATAAAAATGGTTGCAGTTCCTAAAATTTGTACTTGATATTTATGCTCAACCCCTTGAATTAAAGCTGAAAGTCTGCACATCAAATTAATTTAAATTGTTTCATTTTAATGTATTCTGGTGGCATACAGAGCAAAAAGTATGAAAATTGTGCCTGTGTCCACATATATATGGACCTAACTGTATATTGGGTTTATTTATTATTAACCAGTCTGTTGTATGCTTTGGATTTTGAACCTTGGTTGTGTGCAAGGTATCTATATTTGTACCCGCAGTAGCAGTGCAGTATTCATTTGCTTAACTTGGTGTGTCAGTGGAGCTGAGGTTGTCCTCAGAGTCGAGGCAGAAGAACAGAGAACCCAGTTTACCAAGTGGCTCCTGCGGGAGTAGCGATACACAAGTTCATAGTCACCTCATAAGTGAAAAAAAAAGATTTATAGAAAGGAAACACACTGCAAGTCATTTAAGTTATTTTTCTGCAATGTTTTAAGTTGATGACAAGGTATTTTAGGTATATATACCTGAAACATATGTAGATTAGTATGTAAATATTTGAGAGCATGATTAATATCTGGTGGCATGTTGAAGGGAGCTCTAGAGTATTGGAGAAACATAAGAGTAGTTCAGAAATTCTTATTACAGAGAAGTAGTGACTGGACAGGAAGAAAAAGGAAAGAAGAAACACATTTGTAAACTTAGAAAAGGTTTTGGGTTGGTGAATAACTGGACGCTAAAGACAAAATATAATGAGGTGGCAGTTGGCTCATGGCTATAAACGGTATGTTTGACCTCAGATTTCATAAAGGTATCCAGTGGACAATGAAGAGCCACTTCAGCGACTGATAGAAGCATAATGTTTGAACCAAGCAGCAACATTCATAATAGAGTGGAGTGAAGGTAGTCTGTTCAGAAGGAGATCATAAAGTAGGCTGTAGCAGGAAGCAACATTGGATATGATTACAGGCCTAAGTTTTACAAGGCATGAGGCTTATGATGTCCGATTGTGTGCTTTATCTTTCTGTTGGCCTAAAATAGTTGCACCTTTTCTCTTGTAAAGGGAATGTATCGTGTTTTCATTTTTTTAGATAAGCATGTAAATGAGATCAGCTTAAAGCCTTTTCTGCCACTTTTTGTTTACATGATTATAATTAGGGTTTTTTTTTGCAAAACAACTTACTTAGAACCCCCTAAACATTATATATTATTTTTAAAGCAGAGACCCTAGAGAATAAAATGGTGGGTGTTGCAATTTTTATGTCACACGGTATTTGCACAGAGGTTTTTCAAAAACTATTTTTTGTTAAAAATACACTTTTTTTAATTTCAGTGCACAAAAATACAATATAATACCCATTTATTTGGTAAGATTTAAACAATGATGTTATGGTGAGGAAATAGGAATAGGTTTGCAGCTAATTCTTTAGAAAATGGCATCTGCTAGCAGGGGAGTATAATTTTCAGGTATGACAGTTCACTACTGTGCTTGTCAAAGGAGTTTTACTTCCCAATATAATCAAACAATACAAAGAGATCATAATATAGTACATAACCATTACCAAAGTACTTTTAAAAACTTTTAAATATTTCATTTCTGACATGAGAAAAAGTTAGTGTATAAAATCTTTTTTCCTGACTCAACTTGTATCCTTTTCAGATCACTAAGTGCTTGAAATCTTTGTCTATCTTCAGGGAGCTTTATGTCACAAAGAAAATATTTCTCACCATTCTTATATCTGCATTGAACCAGATGACTCCCTAATGTTATGTCTGTATTTTTATAAATAAAATAAATCTGTATTATATTTATTTTTTTTTATTTGATCTCAGACGGCAAGCTTTTCAGCTCATTTCTTTCATTTAAATAGAAAGTGATTTAATGTGCTTTTGAATTACTGGAGTCCCTAAGACATATTGGAAAACTACTTACTCTTTGATAACACATCATACCTAGAAAAAATTACAGTAATTCATATGAATTTTAAATGACCAAAATTAGCCACAAAATTGTTTCCATGTAACCTTACTATTTCCAGTCATTTTTTAATAGGAAGTATCACATGTGTGTGTATTACCTTCTGGGATATGGCATCATCTTGTCTGGTTTACATAAGTCTATATAGATGAACAATTGTTTTTGTGCAGATGTCCTGATATTTTTGAGACTGCACATTTTCTTGTATATTTTGTAATATAAACAAGTGCGTTACATACGGTATATGCCATGAGGCATAATTAATTTTTTCATAGTTGGATGCTTATATAAAATTACATTGTTACCTTCCCCTTGACCTGGGGATATCCACAAATGGGGACCTTCAAATAAATTTAGAAGGATCCCTGTACGGTAATGTAAAACCTGTGTCAATATGAGCTCCTATGTACATTCTTGTACCAATATTTTGTATTTTTCCTTTTCTTTTCATCCTTTTTTTAAATGAATTAGCCTGCTTTGAATCGAAAATAGTTGTACTGTATTCGTGATTTCCTTCAAAATATGGATACAATTTATACTAGCAGAAACAAGAAATAATTAACCTAAGCTTCCCCTGGAGTTACAATTTTAACAGGGTTGTTCAAGTGTGGAAAAGATCTCTAGTTAGGACCAGGTTAGTGTATACGCAGACGAGCCTCCCATCTAGGGTACTGTGGTTAGGAGGGGATACAGCTGCTGTGGATTCTCTCCTGCAGTTGAGAATTTAAAGATAACTTTCAAACAAGCTGTGGCACTGTGCAGATTAAACTATGAAAGTTGTTTGTCCAGTCTAATCTGTAGGACTGGGCTGTCAGTTTGATTGCCCTATTTTGTGCCAAAAGAATTCTGACTGTCCTTCCTGTATGAATGAAGGCTAAAAACAGTATTAAGCATTAAGTCATAAATAAGTGCTCAAGTATAAGAATTGATAGTTTTGGCTTGTTCTTGCTTATACAGTTATGCCAAATACATGCATATCTTGCTACAACTAACAAAAAAAAACAGTGTTGCGCTACTCCTAAATATATGTATATATATATACACACTATATTGCCAAACGTATTGGGACGCCTGCCTTTACACGCACATGAACTTTAATGGCATCCCAGTCTTAGTCCTTAGGGTTTAATATTGAGTTGTCCCACCCTTTGCAGCTATAACAGTTTCAACTCTTCTGGGAAGGCTGTCCACAAGGTTTAGGAGTGTGTCTATGGGCATGTTTGACCATTCTTCCAGAAGTGCATTTGTGAGGTCAGGCACTGATGTTGGACGAGAAGCCCTGGCTCACAGTCTCTGCTCTAATTTATCCCAAAGGTGTTCTATCAGGTTGAGGTCAAGACAGTCAAGTTCCTCCACCCAAAACTCACTCATCCATGTCTTTATGGACCTTGCTTTGTGTACTGGTATGCAGTCATGTTGGAACAGGAAGGGGCCATCCCCAAACTGTTCCCACAAAGCTGGGAGCGTGAAATTGTCCAAAATGTCTTGGTATGCTAATGCCTTAAGAGTTTTCTTCACTAGAATTAAGGGGCCAAGCCCAACCCCTTAAGAACAATCCCACACCGTAATCCCCCCCCGCTAAACATTACACTTGGCAAAATGCAATCAGGCAAGTACCGTTCTCCTGGTAACTGCCAAACCCAGACACATCCATTGGATTGCCAGACAGAGAAGCGTGATTGGTCACTCCAGAGAACATGTCTCCACTGCTCTAGAGTCCAGTGGTATGTGCTTTAAACCACTGCATCAGACGCTTTGCATTGCACTTGGTGATGTAAGGCGTGGATGCAGTGCTCGGCCATGGAAACCCATTCCATGAAGCTCTCTATGGACTGTTGCTGTGCTAATCTAAAGGCCACACCAAGCTATTGACTCTGCAGACATTTGGTGACTTCTGCGCACTGTGTGCTTCAGCATGCACTGACCCCACTCTGTCATTTTACTTGGCCTACCACTTCATGGCTGAGTTGCTGTTGTTCCCAGTTTCTTCCACTTTGTTATAATACCACTAACAGTTGATTGTGGAATATTTAGTAGCAAGGATACTTCACAGGTGGCAACCTATCACAGTACCACACTTGAATTCACTGAGCTCCTGAGAGCGAACTATTCTTTCACAAATGATGGTAGAAGCAGTCTACAAGACTAGGTGCTTGATTACATTTGTGGCCATGGAGGTGATTGGAACACCTGAATTCAGTGATTTGGAGGGGTGTCCCAATACATATATGTTTGGGGGTAGCACAAAACTGTTTTTTTGTTAGTTGTTTTTTGGTTGTGGGAATATATTATTTGTGTATGCTGTAGCTCTAAAATTGGATTATTATTTTTATATATATTTCTTTACTTTTAGGTCTTTGGAAGCACACAAAGAATTTTCTATTAATCATATCTTACTACAATTTCTTTAAATTTTAAACTTTAGAAAACATAATGAAGCATATATAACAAATACAAGGTCAAACAGTGTACAGCACAACAATACACTTGGCATAAAGATAACCTATCCTAAGAAAAGACCCTAACTAAGAGCAAGAAACTGTGTCCAATCCTTACTCCACTGGCCAGTGGTACTAGATACACTGCAATACAGTCCCTGACATTGGGGCCCTTACTGTTATGGTGGAAGGCTCAATTCAATTGTGACAAAGTAGTGGACATGAGTAGTGGCCACTTATGGAGCTGGTTCTCGTCTTAGGTGATCCCGCATGGCCAGCAAAAGGTCCTCTTCTCGAGCCAGCATTAAATTATGACTGCAGCCCCTCCCAGTAACCGTAGATCTTCTAAAATAGCAGACTCTCTGTGAAGTAGCAGGCCCTCTGGCAGTGGCAGTACAGCACTGGAACATGTGGAACTCTGGAATAGCAGGACAACTGGAACTGCTGGATCACCCCAGAAAAAAAACTGGAACACCTGGGACATTCTGGAACAATGTGAACACTGGAATAGCAGATATTAACAGCAGCCTCATGGTCCAGTATCAAAGTCTTTACTGTTATCTCCCCAGACTTCATGCAGTTGCATTTTGCATAGTCCAAGAAGCAGTTTGGCACAGTGACTCAGCACTTGCTTCTGGGCTCTAGCACATACCCCTTGCACATTTTCTCCTGAGCTCCCAGCAGAAGGCAGCACCAGTACCAGCTTCCCTATTGTAGTGATTTTGATTCATAGATTATTAAAGAAATACTCTTCAATTAAACTAATTATGAAATGTCAGCAACTTTTCGAGAACCATGTGTTTGCCCAGTACCAAACATCATTTCACAATAAGTTACTGAATACAGATGACTTGTTTAAACATACAATAGAGTCACACAACACGTGACCTTAGCTTAACCGAGATGGACCCAAAAGTCATAAATGGTAATTGTAGAAGACACATCTCTTAATATATGAATGGCGAGAATGCAGGCCAAGACAATAGGAATCCTTGAACATAATATCCTTACCAAATAAACTGTATTTACTAAGTAAAGCCTTAAATGGAGGTTCATTCATAAGAAGGAAATCATTTTATGCCAGAAATAGAGACACCTAATATTGAACATATCATATGTCTAATGAAAAGTCAACTATATGTTTACAAATGGGACACAGACAATAGACAGCTAATCAAACACTTCCAAGGTGCTCGCTCAGGCTGTGAACTTTGAAACCCAGTTGCAAAACTGGATTTAAAACTAAACAGTTGACATGTTCATAATACTATATATATATATATATATATATATATATATATATATATATATATATATATATCATGGCATCGTAATCAATTTAATAAAGTTGGCAACTACAAAAGAAAAACATACAAAAGCATAAACTGGATATCATCAAGTTATAATGACATATGGGATGAATTGTGATTTGGGTACTATATCTGTGATTCTAAAGCAAATGATTACCAACATACATACCTACAGCAGAATGTGAAATATCTGACATGATGGACTGAAGTAGCACGCAAGCAATAGCTGATAAAATGCCATAACAAATTATGGGGATATTATCTTAACATTTACCATTCTCAGAACAATGGACAGACATCAAAATATAATTCCCATATAAGGAAGATGAGCCACAAAACCAAATTAAAAATAATGGACTCGATATAAAGAGATATCGATAAGAGCCACTTTCATATTTCAGCAGGACATATAAATTTATCAATAAAGCCATACCATCATCTTGAAGATGACTCATAACGAGTGATCACAATTTCATTCATGGAACATAACTGCCCCTAGTGGACAGGTAAAGAACCTCCAGAATCAACGGCATTCTGGCCATCCAATCAGCCTACACCATTGATGGACCTAGAGAACAATGGGTCTTTACAATATATATACAATATATATATATATATATATATATATATATATATATATATATATATATATAACAGACCCTGCTCTTTAAAAAAAAAAAAATTCTAAAAAGACCTTACTCTGAAAAAAAAAACTCTTGCGAAAGACTCTTGGAAAAACTACTCTTGAAAACTCTTGAGAAAAACACTCTGCCTTTGAAGACTGCTTTTGAAGAACTTATTTTTTAAAACCTTTTTGTCCGCCTAGAAGAACCCATTTTTGACAAGAGGAGAACTTTTGCCTGCCCATCCAATTTTTACTTATTTCCTGACGAGAAGTGACTGCTATTCCACCGAAATATCTCAGTGACCGCTATATCTGGGAGAGGTGAGAAATTGTGTCAAAGTATCAAAAACTTTTTATTCATTTAGAATTTTCTAAATCCGTAATAATATTAATATTGTGCTGTAATACTAAGATTGTGCATATAGATAGATATTGCAAATTACTTAAAAATTGCATTGATTGAATCGAACCGAGATTGCATAATGTATGGAGAATTGGTTGCTTAAGGGGATTGCTTTGATTGTGGACTAGAGTTTTAATTTTTTTTCTCTATATTGGGTATTGAAATTGTATTGTTTTCTTGAAATATCTGAAGTGTTTTCTGTGCATATTACATCAGGAATATTTTCCTAATTCCCTTCGGCCACAAGAATTAGAAATTGTATCTTGAGTACTAACAGTTGGGATTTACTAACCAATGCAAGATTATTTTTGTCAATTACGCTGTTGTGATACATATTTTACGTTTGACCTATTTGAAATTGAAATTAATTGTGGGTTATCCTTTGATTGTGTGTAGAAAATACTCATCACCAGTAGATTCGTTTGTATTATATATATATATATATATATATATATATATTTTTTTTATATTATATTTATTTTTTTTTTTTTAATATAAATAATTTATTTATTTATCCAATTGGCAATATTTGTGTATATGGTAAGAAATTGCATTGGTAAAAAGAACTCAAGGAAAATAACAGTGTGATGATAAATTTGTTAAGGTGTCCATATTATTGAATACTAATTAAGTTATTTGCCATAATGGCTGGAGGCACTGTGTTATTACGGTTTACGGGAGTTGGACTCCGCCCAATTTATTTATAATTAATAATCTTAAAAGGACCACAGGTATAGACCACAACACTCTTGGGCTCTCAATAGACAGCACGATGAGACTATGCTGTCAATAATAATTTTTCATGTCTTCCTTTCATAGAGAGAACAATTCCATACATCAAAAAAGGCTTAGATAACATCAAGCTGAAGTCTAAGTATAAGTTGCAGCTGCACGGGGTTTTGATGAGGGCTCCATTGTCAGTCTCTCACATGGGACACAAACATAAAACATACATTTTAATCTAATTGACATGAATTTCACATTCAGGCTGGTTTCATAATTTAAAAAGCAAAACCTGTTCCAAATGAATTTGACTGTTTTACTTTGGGTAGACTTGGATGTAGTCTGTAATGGGTTTTTACTGCTGTCTGGGTTGGGACTCAAGCAGTGAGATTTCTCTCCATAGGTCAAGTATAAACTTTAAAGTACACTTTTAAAAGCATTTTTTTTATTCTCAAATCTAAAGTCCCCACCTTTTGTTTCCCTTTCTATTTTTAACTAATTTTGTTGTTGGGTATAGTGAGTTCAAAGTAATCTCGCATGAATACTCAGTAAAGAACTTTCTTATAACAAAGCTGTGTTGGATGAGGAGGACAATTCTCAACGGACAGCATTAAGACACAGAAAGGTTCGAATCATGCAAAACATTACAGAAAATAGTGATGTAAATACTTTTTCATCTCAAACAACTCAATACAATATATAGTTACACATCATTTCTTTTGGAGGTGTTTTCAGTACAATGACAATTAGGAACATTTATGTCTATTTACATACAGTAAATGCAGGGTAGATGTGTTTATAAGAACACAGAGGAGAAAAGAGATCAAAATTTTGTGTTAAAAAAAAATCAAAAATCAAATGCTAAACACAACTCAATCTATCATCCCTGGGTAGGTTATTAACTTTTGCGTCAGGCAATCACGTACACGATTCTAAAGTAATATAACCTAGGAAAAAAACTAGTAGAAAAATAGCAAAAAAAGCTTTAAAAATTTGTTACAAAATCCCTGTTGGTGATCTGGAGTTTGCAAGAATAAAGAAGAAAAAAAAAGTCTTATTTTTTTCTCCATTATAATAAATAATGTACTGGAAGCTGGCAAAGCTATTGACAACCACAGGAAAAAAAGTCACTAGGCCAGTGTTAGATACTTTAGGAGCATTTAGTACTAAGCTTTTATTTACTTTTATTACACGGTGAATTACTGGCATATTTATCATAGGAGAAAATATGTACTTTCCATACTATCAATACTTTGCAACTTGCAAACATAGGACCTGAGGAGGCTTAGTGGAAACTTTAGACAAAAATCTAAACCTATTAGAAATTTGTACACATTTAGGTGATAAATGACTAGTACAAAAGGTAGAAAATGGAAATAGTGGCCTACCTTTCATCTTTGTATACTGTTGATGGTATACATTCAGATATAATATTTATTCTATGAGATGTTTTATTAATGTTGTAGTGTGTTTTATATGTGTATGTGTCTTGTATATGTATGTTTTTATGTGTAACATTGGAAGGGACTGTAACATTATTTAATTTTGTAAATTTTGTTGTAGAATGATAACTACATTTCTTGATTTGATTCTTCTAGATTCTTGCATTACTGATACAATAGGTATAGGAAGTCCTAAGGGAAAGCCAAT